ATTTTGGAACAAAATATACAAATGACTTAAATTGATCAAGCTAAATCCCAAACTCGATCACTAGGAATCTTATTCTTCCTAAGGGTCGTCAGCCATCCAAGTTTGATTAGATCTGATGTATCATTGATGAGATATCATGAAACAAACATTTTACTAAATGTACAGCCTACTTATAGCCACTGTGACCTTGACTTCTGACTAAGTGACCCCAAAATCAATATATGGCTTCTACACCTTAACTTTGGGCATCATTTTCTCAAATGTGGTTGACATAGATAATGTTTTTATTTTAAGGGGAACCATACAAATTTATGTAAATTATTGTACTACAGAAATATTCCCATCACTTGCTAATGCAGACAAAATGCTGGTGTGTGGTACGTTCTGTGAGTTTTCCCTCTGGTTGCGATACACAATCTTTCTACAATTGTTTTGGTGGTATTGGCAGTTTGTTAATTTCTATGTCTGTTTGGTGGTGTTGGAAGTTTGCTCATTTCTATGTCTGTTTGGTGTTGTTAGCAGTTTGTTCATTTCTATGTCTGTTCGGTGTTGATTGCACTTTACTCATTTCCATGTCTGTTTGGTGTTGTTAGCAGTTTGTTCATTTCTATGTTTGTTTGGTGATGTTAGCAGTTTGTTCATTTCTATATCTGTTTGGTGGTGTTGGCAGTTTGTTCATTTCCATGTCAGTTTGGTGGTGTTGGCAGTTTGCTCATTTTTATGTCTGTTTGGTGGTGTTGGCAGTTTGTTCTTTTCTATGCCTGTTTGGAGTGATGTTGGCAGTTTGTTCATTTATATGTCTGTTTGGTGGTGTTGGCAGTTTGTTCATTTCTATGTCTGTTTGGTGGTGTTGGCAGTTTGTTCATTTCTATGTCTGTTTGGTGGTGTTGGCAGTTTGTTCATTTCTATGTCTGTTTGGTGGTGTAGGCAGTTTGTTCATTTCTATGTCTGTTTGGTGGTGTTGGCAGTCTGTTCATTTCTATGTCTATTTGGTGGTGTTGGCAGTTTGTTCATTTCTATGTCTGTTTGGTGATGTTAGCAGTTTGTTCATTTCTATGTCTGTTTGGTTGTTTTGGCAGTTTGTTCATTTCTATGTCTGTTTGGTGGTGTTGGCAGTTTGTTCATTTCTATGTCTGTTTGGTGATGTTAGCAGTTTGTTAATTTCTATGTCTGTTTGGTGGTTTTGGCAGTTTGTTCATTTCCATGTCTGTTTGGTGGTGTTAGCAGTTTGTTCATTTCTATGTCTGTTTGGTGATGTTAGCAGTTTGTTCATTTCTATGTTTGTTTGGTGATGTTAGCAGTTTGTTCATTACTGTCTGTTTGGTGGTGTTAGCAGCTTGTTCATTTCTATGTCTGTTTGGTGATGTTAGCAGTTTGTTCATTTCCACGTCTGTTTGGTGGTGTTAGCATTTTGTTCATTTCCATGTCTGTTTGGTGGTGTTAGCAGTCTGTTCATTTCCATGTCTGTTTGGTGGTGTTTGCAGTTTGTTCATTTCTATGTCTGTTTGGTGGTGTTGGCAGTTTACTCATTTCTATGTCTGTTTGGTGGTGTAAGCAGTTTGTTTATTTCTATGTCTGTTTGGTGGTGTAGGCAGTTTGTTCATTTTTATGTCTGTTTGGTGATGTTTGCAGTTTGTTCATTTCCACTTCTTTTTGGTGGTGTTAGCAGTTTGTTCTTTTCCATGTCTGTTTGGTGCTGTTAGCAGTTTGTTAATTTCTATGTCTGTTTGGTGGTGTTGGCGGTTTGCTCATTTCTATGTCTGTTTGGTGGTATTGGCAGTTTGTTCTTTTCTATGTCTGTTTGGTGGTTTTGGAAGTTTGTTCATTTCTATGTTTGTTTGGTGATGTTAGCAGTTTGTTCATTACTGTCTGTTTGGTGGTGTTAGCAGTTTGTTCATTTCTATGTCTGTTTGGTGGTGTTGGCAGTTTGCTCATTTCTATGTCTGTATGGTGGTGTTAGCAGTTTGTTAATTTCTATGTCTGTTTGGTGGTGTTGGCAGTTTGTTCATTTCTATGTCTGTTTGGTGGTGTTAGCAGATTGTTCATTTCTATGTCTGTTTGGTGGTGTAATCAGTTTGTTTATTTCTATGTCTGTTTGGTGGTGTTGGCAGTTTGTTCCTTTCTATGTCTGTTTGGTGGTGTAAGCAGTTTGTTTATTTCTATGTGTGTTGGCAGTTTGTTCATTTCTATGTCTGTTTGGTGGTATTGGCAGTTTGTTCATTTCTATGTCTGTTTGGTGGTGTAAGCAGTTTGTTCATTTCTATGTCTGTTTGGTGGTCTTGGCAGTTTGTTCATTTCTATGTCTGTTTGGTGATGTTAGCATTTTGTTCATTTCTGTCTGTTTGGTGGTGTTGGCAGTTTGTTCATTTCTAAGTCTGTTTGGGGGTGTTGGAAGTTTGTTCATTTCTATGTCTGTTTGGTGGTGTTGGCAGTCTGTTCATTTCTATGTCTGTTTGGTGGTGTAAGCAGTTTGTTTATTTCTATGTGTGTTGGCAGTTTGGTCATTTCTATGTCTGTTTGGTGGTATTGGCAGTTTGTTCATTTCTATGTCTGTTTGGTGGTGTTGGAAGTTTGTTCGTTTCTATGTCTGTTTGGTGGTGTTGGCAGTTTGCTCATTTCTATGTCTGTTTGGTGGTATTGGCAGTTTGTTCATTTCTATGTCTGTTTGGTGGAGTTAGCAGTTTGTTCATTTCTATGTCTGTTTGGTGGAGTTAGCAGTTTGTTCATTTCTATGTCTGTTTGGTGGTCTTGGCAGTTTGTTCATTTCTATGTCTGTTTGGTGGTGTTGGAAGTTTGTTCATTTCTATGTCTGTTTGGTGGTGTTGGCAGTTTGCCCATTTTCCTGTGTAAGTTATGTAATGTCTGTATTTTTTTCAAGTTTATTTGGTAGTATCATTATTGGTCTAGTTGGCTGAGATGTGTCAGTAGTTTGTCCATTTGGCTGTATGCATGTGTTAGGAAAATATCAGGAGATCTATTTAGTATTATTTCGTCTGTCTTTGACTCCAGTCTCGACTTTGGCAGACATTTCCTCCCTTAGGCCACTATTCTTCCAAGAAATTTCATACTGGACTACACCTTTTACTGTCATATTGCTACCCTCTTTAAATATCATCCATTACTTTCTGTTCTGTCATGTTGATGTAAACAAGAGGCCCAATGGGTCTGCATCGCTTACCTGGTATTAATTTCACAATTGTAACCTTAAAAGTGGACTAAAATAAAGCTACAGGCAAAATATCAGTGTCTTGACTTCAAGTCATTCAAAAGAACCTGTTAAACGATTAAAACACATTTGACCCCTGTGACCTTGAAAGTCAAACATGGACATCAAGTTGAACAAACTTCATAGCCCATCCTCCCAGAATGCATCTTGCCAAATATCACCACCTTATACCTTTTATTTATAAAGAAGATGACTTTTAAAGATTTATGCACTAGGTCATTCACATCATCAAGCAATCACCCTCTATGCTTTGGTTATTTAGAAGAAGTTGTTAAAAGATTTTAACATATTTGACCCCGTGCCCTTGAAAATGGGCACAGGTCATTCATTTGAACAAACTTGGTAGCCCTTCATCCAAGCATACTACTGGCCAAATATCATCAGCCTGGGCCTCTTGGTTATTCAAAAGAAGTTGCTTAAAGTAAAAAGTTGACACCGGACGGACAACAGACGGACATACGACGGACGGCTGAGCTAACAATAGCAGCATGTTTCGAAGAAGAATTGTGCAGAGTGTTGATAGATTAATGCTGATTTATATTAATTAGTTCTAATTATCCAATGACATGTTATGTTATACACCCATCATACCCCTTTTCCGAAGAAACAGTTCTCTGATGGAGAGGAATCAGCTCAGACACTATTCCTCCCATTATTACAGCAGTTAATAGTGTAGTAGACGCTTTAACATATTCAATGCAGTAAACATATCACTAATAGTTAACCAACGTTTTGTGATCAGGTTATAAACAGTACAGGCCTAACAGTAACTCTGGCGCATTTAACAATTTATGGAATGCTCAATCCTTCTTTTACCTTGTTAAACAAGCCCCTTAAAATGAAAATCTTTCTCAACCAATCAGATTGCAATATTTTCATAGAATGTGTAGCCATTTTATATAGGTCGCTGTATCGATATCCCAACTATAATAGTTCAGGTGATGCAGAAATATTCTGCAATAAATGAATGCACTTGGACCGGAACTGTGCTAAAGTTTTAGGCAGAGCTTAATATGCATAGTTTGGAACATTTTTAACAAATAATGAACAAAATATGAAGAACTGAGAAATGAGCGAGTATGTCCTTCTTTCACATGGGCCCTTTTTATAATTTAATATATTTAATTGTATAGCAATTCCTAGATGTGAATTGATCTTGTTTTATGCCAAAAATCAAATGCTAACTAGCAATTGTCAGCATTTCAGTTTTTGTCAGGCATGTCTGGACCACTCAATATGCACATGCTGAGTATTTGTGAGGTCAGCCTTGGTTCAGATCTGTGCCTGTCATTTGTGTCAGCTTTAGCTGGTTGAAACGGATATGTGAAAGGGCCCCTTTCATATTTCTAATAATGATGTACTTATCAATCTATTCCTGATTGTGTTCAAAATACTTCTTTGAAAAGGAATTTGGACTAATTAGAATAAACTTCCCTTGTGTTTAAATTCTCAGTGAAAGTGTCTGAAATGTAACAGAAGATATCTGAGTCACAATTTACCACTAAATGGCATTTTGGCTATGAGTGATGGTAAAGAATACTGTGTGTAAATGTTTAGTGAACATACATAAACTTGTACTTAATATCTTCAGTTATGTCAACATGTCTATACCAAGTCCATGTAGCTATGTGAACAGGTACTATGTTTATTTAGTTAAATGAACATCTATACACATACATAAGTGATTTACAGTCATATACGTTCATTGTAATTCCTGTCTGTGTTATTACTTCTTCTCCGTGTTGAATGTGTTAAAAAATTCCCAAAGATCGTATAAATTCCACATGTTTTATTTACACACAGGCTGTTAATCACAAACCTCACACACTGACATACTTTCTCCCATTTGCAGCCGCTGTAACAGTTTAAGTATCAACCATCAGTTCTCAATGTCAGAGATCACAATTCTATCACAATAATTTAAAGCCTCTTCACATGATCATCAGGTAGTACATATTTAATAGCTCTAACTTAGCTGGTTATTAACACACAAGTTCAGCATCATTTCAGCAAAATCAGACCAGTAACATGACAGACTGGTAACAGGAGTCGGAACATTAGAAATGACAACAGAACTTAAGCGAGTGATAAAGTCACAAATAAATGATGAAAAAATATCCTGCAAATTCATGATAAGGTAGTCTACGAGATCCTTATACTTCTCTGTGATTAAGGTGGTAACAAGTCATTATAACATCTCAGAGCTCCTGTTTTTAAACATTATTGATCACTATATAGAAAAATAGGAATCAGAAAACACAATGATGAAAGTCTGATATAAATAGGGCCAGAAATATCACAGTACAGGTGTGATGTCACACCTGGCCAGAAATATCACAGTACAGGTGTGATGTGATAGCTTCATACATTCAATACTATTTATGAATACACCCTCACTTTAACAGTGATAATCGGCCGAAGACCGGTAGCATCGTGATGGGTGATAATCAGTCCCTGATTTGTGAAATAACAATAAATTTTCATTCATTTGGAAGATGTATTCAAAACTTGAAATATATACTCTTCTTTAATGCAATTGCATTTAATACAATTTTCCCTCATACTTCACACAATACAAACAACATTCCTAGTCTTTTTTTTGCTCGCTAATTATCATGAAAATGTCATGTCAGACTCTGTCTTGGGTTTTGTAGTCGTTTCTTGGCCCTTGTTCCAGTGTTCCAGACCCTTTGGCAATGTCATCTCCTCCTCCATAGACCCAGTGCCTTCCACAAACTCCTGATATGTGGATTTCTCTGCAAATGGCCTCTTGCCCAACGCTTCCTCCATGTCCTTCTTGTCTATCTTTTCCTTTTCAAGTAATAACTTGGCAATCTGTGTATAGTAAAACATAAAACACAACATTCAAATGTTTTACAGTATATATACAATTCAGGATTGAAGCTTGCTTTGGTCAATTTCATGGGGTGATGAATTGAGTTGGTCTTGAAACAAATTTAATGAACTGTTGAATTTATCGTAAAAATTTCCAGGAAATTGATATAAGGAGATTACTTTATATTTCATCAATTTGATATGATAACAGGCATCACAAATCGTACAATGTTATCCACACAAATGATATAATGTCATCCACATAGTCTTTTCTGAATATGTTAAAGAAATGAAAAAGCTTGCGATCACTCTAAGACTTAGAATTTTCTATTTCTAGTAAAAGCGAGCATCACCTTCAGCACAGTTTGTATAGCCTGAAATGCAAACTTATTGTTATAACTAAACCTAAAACTTGTATGAACTATCACTAAAACAACGACAATAATTTTCTTAAACAAGAAATACCATTCTAGTGACCTTCACCTTAATCACACCACTCTGAATGCCTAGCATTTGTATGGAGTCTAGAACATTCATTGGAAAATGAAGTCCCTACAGCAAAAACAACTATTTCTCCCACCTGTGCGTATCAACATACAAATGACCCATTTGGAAACCTGTACTATTATGACATCACAATCAGATGATGATGTTCCTTCATGATGCCTCAAATGCATCAAAATGTCGTTTGACAGACTGTGGCAATCATACTGTGGCAGGTTTTAATTGTAAATAGGATTAAGGTCTAGCACGGATGTTTAAATTTGAGGTATACCATATGCTTTGCTTATATGTTCATTAGAATTTTTGCATGATTTTGTGTTGTTGCATTTGCTGTTTTACCTTTGTCAGCTGTGCCCTGTTTAACCTTTGTCAGCTGTGCCCTGTTTTACCTTTGTCTGTGTCCTGTTTTACCTTTGTCAGCTGTGCCCTGTTTTACCTTTGTCTGTGTCCTGTTTTACCTTTACGTCCTGTTTTACCTTTGCCTGTGTCCTGTTTTACCTTTGTCTGTGTCCTGTTTTACCTTTGTTTACCTTTGTCTGTGTCCTGTTTTACCAAAGTTTCAGTGAAGTGGTGGGAGAAAAAGAGTCTGTCATCATGTAGGTTTGTGGGATAGAGATATTCTACCCTTAGGTGTAGAATCTGGTGTCTGAACCACAACAAAAGCCTCAGTCCTGACCCCAATTCAACAGTCTCACATATTCCACATACATACATATGATAGACTCCTATTATTCATAAAACACGAAAAAAGAGGTTTTGACCTTAAATGTAAAATGTACTGCCATGAACTGCCAATCTGCCTGAGGTACAACAGAGATAAGAAGGGGGAAACAGGCAGAACCTTCTCTCATCAGAAACTTTGGTTCGACGGAATAACTCATTTTATATGACATATAACACAACAATTTTAGCAGGCTTCCTACCCCGAAGGTTACCTTAATACTTTTAGCTCAGTGACCCAACAGTCTGCTCACCTTATCTATGAGATCCTTTTTCTCAGTCAGCAGATCCATGGTCCGATCATAACATTTAGCCACGATGTTTCTAACCTCTTCGTCAATGATTTGTGCAGTCTCTTCACCGTACCCCTTTTGGAATGATCCTTCCTGCTGTGCATAGCCAATTTGTCCTATCTTATCACTCATGCCCAAAACAGTGACCTACAAATAGGCAGTGTTTGAGTTACAATGGTGTGGTGTCTCAATTGCATTAACATCAAATGGTTGCTATGGAAAAGGCATAATAACAATATATATGTAGAAAGAGTTTTTTGATGTTTTCGACATATTTGACCTTGTGACCTTGATGATAGGTAAAGTATATCAATGAATAAACACAATATCCCTTCACCCCAGAAAGCTATAGAATAAAATCATGGGTCTAGGCCTTAGGGCTCTGTGGAAGATGAGCATAAAGGAAAATCTCATGAAGGAGGAACACTGCACCATCACATAAGAGCCCATCATGGGATTTAGTCAGTACTAACAATTGCAAATTTAATTACCCAAAGTGTTTTATTCCCTCTGGAATGATACTGTATACCAGGAAAGTTTCTTCAGTCAAATATTTGCCCTTCACATGTAAAATCCATATTGACTCAGTATCAATTTTACCCTTGTACATGGTTTGTAGTGTATTAACTCTGACTATTATTATAGATGGTGAAAATGATGAAAGTCAACATATGGCAAAAACTTCCTTGTATACAGTATTCAGTGGTTATAAGTTTGGCTTGTTTCAATGACAATGTATCCCGTGATATTCCCGGGTAGGTGCTTACCTGAGCGTAGGCCAATTTGGTTACCTTCTGTAGATCATCTTGGGCACCAGATGTAACCTTACCAAAGAAGATTTTCTCCGAAACTCTTCCCCCAAGCAATGTACACATTCTGTCTATCAACTAAAATAAGATAAAAAATCACAAATTTCTTTATAACACATACTTGAACCACAATAATTTAATCAAGAATTTGATACATCAATTCTAGTTTAAAACTAACCCATTCCCATATAAACCATTCTAAATATTCAAGACCTTAATAAATTCAGCACAAAAAGTAACATGTACAAACAGCAGTTTACACTTAAAACCTAGTCTTCTCCAACTTACCTGTGGTTTGGTAAGTAGATAATTTTCCTGGGGTAAGTACATGGCATATCCTAGGCCCTTGCCGCGGGGTATAATAGAAACCTACAATTTATGGCATAGTTGTCAACAATCTTGTATTAAACTGGTACTGAAATGTTGATCCATGTCAACCAAATGTTTGTTAGTATATATACACAAGAAAAAGACAGAAATGATATGGCCTGTACCTCTCACATGTTTCAAATTTCAATATTTGATTCCTTGGTCCAAAGTATACAGTATATCATTGCAAAAATTAATTTGGTTGAAATCTGATCCATCTTTCAGTAGAAAATTCTTAAAGGAAAATGTTGAAGGAGGACAAATTGACAGGTGGAGAATGGACTATACATTAAAGTAGACAAAGGGAGAGGTGGAGGATGGACTATACATTAAAGAGGACAAATGGATAGGTGGAGGATGGACTATACGTTAAAGAGGACAAATGATTAGGAGGAGGATGGACTATACATTAAAGAGGACAAATGTATAGGTGGAGGATGGACTATACATTAAAGAGGAAAAATGGATAGGTGGAGGATGGACTATACATTAAAGAAGATAAATAGATAGGTGGAGGATGGATTAAACATTAAAGAGGATAAATGGATAGGTGGAGAATGGTCTATGCATTAAAGAGGACAAATGGATAGGTGGAGGATGGACTATACAGTAAAGAGGACAAAGGGATAGGTGGAGGATGGACTATACATTAAAGAAGATAAATAGATAGGTGGAGGATGGATTAAACATTAAAGAGGATAAATGGATAGGTGGAGAATGGTCTATGCATTAAAGAGGACAAATGGATAGGTGGAGGATGGACTATACGTTAAAGAGGACAAATGATTAGGAGGAGGATGGACTATACATTAAAGAGGACAAATGGATAGTTGGAGGATGGACTATACATTAAAGAGGACAAATGGATAGTTGGAGGATGGACTATACATTAAAGAGGACAAGTGGATAGGTGGAGGATGGACTATACATTATAGAAGACAAATGGATAGGTGGAGGATGGACTATGCATTTAAGAGGATAAATGGATAGGTGGAGGATGGACTATACATTAAAGAGGACAAATGATTAGGTGGAGGATGGACTATACATTAAAGAGGACAAATGGATAGGTGGAGGATGGACTATACATTAAAGAGGACAAATGGATTGGTGGAGGATGGACTATGCATTAAAGAGGACAAATGGATAGGTGGAGGATAGACTATACATTAAAGAGGATAAATGGATAGGTGGAGGATGGACTAAACATTAAAGAGGATAAATGGATAGGTGGAGAATGGTCTATGCATTAAAGAGGACAAATGGATAGGTGGAGGATGGACTATACATTAAAGTAGACAAATGGATAGGTGGAGGATGGACTAAACATTAAAGAGGATAAATGGATAGGTGGAGAATGGTCTATGCATTAAAGAGGACAAATGGATAGGTGGAGGATGGACTATACATTAAAGTAGACAAAGGGATAGGTGGAGGATGGACTATACATTAAAGAAGACAAATGGATAGGTGGAGGATGGACTATACATTATAGAAGACAAATGGATAGGTGGAGGATGGACTATACATTAAAGAGGACAAATGGATAGGTGGAGGATGGACTATACATTAAAGAGGACAAATGGATAGGTGGAGGATGGACTATACATTAAAGAGGACAAATGGATAGGTGGAGGATGGACTATACATTAAAGAGGACAAATGGATAGGTGGAGGATGGACTATACATTAAAGAGGACAAATGGATAGGTGGAGGATGGACTATACATTAAAGAGGACAAATGGATAGGTGGAGGATGGACTATACATTAAAGAGGACAAATGGATAGGTGGAGGATGGACTATACATTAAAGAGGACAAATGGATAGGTGGAGGATGGACTATACATTAAAGAGGACAAATGGATAGGTGGAGGATGGACTATACATTAAAGAGGACAAATGGATAGGTGGAGGATGGATTATACATTAAAGAGGACAAATGGATAGGTGGAGGATGGACTATACATTAAAACATACGCTCACTAGCTATTTACTCGGATCAGGCAAGATAACAAAACGTTCAATTCTTTCAAATGATCAACATAGAGATATTTTATTTTGTTATGTAGATACAATTTTTTTGAAACATAAAAGTAAGGATATTTTAATATCAGGAAACCAGTCAGCTATATAGCATGTTACATTGTACCTTCAACAGGGGATCACCATGTTCTAGGAACCACCCGGCTATAGCGTGACCTGCTTCATGGTATGCCACTATTTTTTTCTCATGTGGCTGTAAAACTTGTGATTTCTTCTCCAAACCTTCACAGGAAATAAAGTAGAATATATAATTGGAATTAAAATTGGAGGGCCAGGTGAGCTAAAACTGGCATCTTAACTTGGATCAGAGCAGACAATTTTATGATTACTTAAATATCTAATTATTATCACACTTAGATAAAGTCATCATTATTTGTTTTTTGGTATAACTTCAAGCATTGAAGTGATCCATGAGTTCCAGTAATGTGTAAAATAGTTACCTCCCACTACCCGTTCTATGGCTTGTTCAAAGTGGGTTGCCTCGACAGATTCATTGAGGTCCCGTGCTGCGATGAGAGCCGATTCATTACAAACATTGGCGATATCAGCCCCTGTAAAACATTTCAACAGAGAAAGAACGGTCATAGTAGTTAAACATAATTCCATATTGTGTCGCTCAGGCCAGTCTGAAGTACGGTGATAGGCTTAGAATGGCCACACATAATTAGGCATATTTTCTTGCAGAGTGGTTTAGAACAGTCATTAATAATTACATAAAACTCACTTGGAACGGCTACTCATGATTTAGTATATTTCTTACAGAGTGGCTCTGAATGGCCTCTCGTAATTTGGCAAAATTTCTTACAGAGTGGCTAAGAATTATCACTCGTAATTAGGCAAAATTTCTTACAGAGTGGGTAAGAATTATCACTTGTAATTAGGCAAAATTTCTTACAGAGTGGCTAAGAATAAGCCTCTTAAATAGCAGGGTTCTCCCCAGGCCATTTAGCTGATACGGCTCCGTATCAGCTTCAGTTTGAAATCCTTCCTGCCGTATCAGCTTAATTGACCCGTATCACCTTAAACTGTGAACCGTATCACCTTGTTATTTGTACTGAACAGAAGGTGGTCTTTTTACACAAGAAATTGACACTGATTAAATCACACGGCCGACCCAAGTCCATCAATGACCCCACTGGTCAGTTGCACGATAAGCGTATTGCCACAGGGGGCCTGTAATTAGTGGGGAGGGGGACCGGACGACAAGCCCACAGGGCACAGGTGTCCGGCAAGCGTGCTCACTGGAGCCTAAAGCAATTACCACCGGATCCTTTTAGCATGGTCAATAGGTGATTAATTGAGGTACCTACTGTTGGATTAACAAAACAAACACTTATTACAT